TAGACTATTTCATTGAATCACCCCTATAAAATTTATGAGATTTGATGAAAAGTAGTATTTTTTTTAGGAAAGCCCTAATTTTAAGTGCAAATTCGCATTCTCCATCAAAAATTGAGTTTAGAAAAGTGTTTTTTATCATTCTTCTCCATCTTTCCTTATCCTTAAGTTGAAAAATCTTGTAGTAAGTCTTTCTGCTATAACCGATCTTGAACGATATTTGTATTTCGCATAGAATCTCGACAAAACCTTTACTCAATATTCTATAAAGTACTTTTTCTAACTCTAATTTTCATGCAAAATTCAAATATGTACTTAAAATGTAGGGTTTTCTGAGACTTTTTACCATATCCTGACGATAACCCTAAATTCTGGCTGACGGAAAATTAGTCCAACTTTGACCAAGATTTTCTTTATGTTTTTATCTTAAAGTTACTAAGAAGATTGTGCATTTTTAGTACAAAATTTTATTAGGAACATTTTAAAAACAATCACAAGTTGATCAGTGAACTGGAAGTGAAGATATGGAGGAAAAGACAAGAGTGATCAGCCTCCGCTGAATAATAGCACAATTGTTAAGCAAAAAAAGAGTACTTTTTGTTGGATGAGCCCCGATTTTTTCGATGGATTCGAACTTCTCGACTAAAAGTACGTCTAGAAAAGTGTCTTTAAAAGATTTAAAAAGAAAAAAATTTTTTGTTGAAAAAAAAGCTAAGGTATTAGACTGTACCTTTTTTTTGTCAAAAAATTTTTTTTTTTCCGAAACATCTGAAAACACTTTTCTAGACGTAATTTTGAGGATAGAATGCGAATCTGTCGAAAAAATTGGGGGTCACCCAACAAAAAGCACTCCTTTTACTTAACAATTGTACTATTGTTAGGCATAGTTTGATAACTCTTCTCTTTTTCTCTGTATCTCAACTTATAGCTCACTAATCAACTTGTAGTTGCTCTGAAAATGTTCCTTATGAAATTTGGTTATGAACATCTACAAATTACTTAGTAAACTTTAATATAAAAACATGGTGAAAATCTCAGTCAAAGTTCGACTATCTATGCGAAAGGATTTATCAACTTAAAAGGTCTAAAACTCAAGATATAAAAGTCGAATCAGCTCCGGGTTACTTTTTTTAAATTCTATACAAAATTTAAGTTTAGAAATGTATCATTTATTTTGTAGACTTACCGATGAAAACATAGAGAAAAGTAGAATTGTTGAGGATGCTACAATCCTCTAAAAAGAGTCAGTACTGCAAACTTTGCTCTAACTTTGACACTAATTTTATCTATGTTTTTATTGCTAAGTCTATAAAACAAATAGAACATTTCTAAACTTAAATTTTGTGTAGAATTTGATAAAAGTAACCCGGAGCTGATTCGACTTTTATATCTTGAGTTTTAGACGTTTTAAGTTGATAAATCTTTTCGCATAGATAGTCGAACTTTGACTGAGATTTTCACCATGTTTTTATATTAAAGTTTACTAAGTAATTTGTAGATGTTCATAACCAAATTTCATAAGGAACATTTTCAGAGCAACTACAAGTTGATTAGTGAGCTATAAGTTGAGATACAGAGAAAAAGAGAAGAGTTATCAAACTCTGCCTAACAATAGTACAATTGTTAAGCAAAAAGAGTGCATTTTGTTAAGTGACCCGCAATTTTTTCGACAGATTGGCATTCTATTCTTAAAATTACGTCTAGAAAAGTGTTTTCAAATGTTCCGGAAAAAAAAATTTTTTTTAAGAAAAAAAAGTAGACCTTAGCTTTTTTTTCAACAAAAAATTTTTTTCTTTTTAAATCTTTTAAAAACACTTTTCTAGACGTACTTTTAGCCGAGAAGTTCGAATCCGTCGAAAAAATCGGGGATCACCCAACGAAAAGTATTCTTTCTCTTTAGCAATTGTAATATCGTTAGGGAAAAGTCTAACGACTCTTCTCTTTCCCTCCATATCTCCACTTCCAGTTGAGCGATCAATTTGTGGTTGTTCTTAAAATATTCTTTATAAAATTTCGTATTAGAAATTCACAATTTCTTTAGTAACTCTAAGATAAAAACATAAAGAAAATTTTGGTCAAAGTTGGACTAATTTCCTGGAAGCAAGAATTTAGGGTTATCGTCAGGATATGGTAAAAAGTCTCAGAAAACCCTAGATTTTAAGTACATATTTGAATTTTGCATGAAAAGTAGACCTAGAAAAAGTACTTTATAGGATATTGAGTAAAGGTTTTGTCGAGATTCTATGCGAAATACAAATATCGTTCAAGATCGGCTATAGGAGACAGACTTACTACAAGATTTTTCAACTTAACGATAAGGAAAGATGGAGAAGAATGATAAAAAACACTTTTCTAGGCTCAATTTTTGATGGAGAATGCGAATTTGCACTTAAAATTAGGGCTTTCCTAAAAAAAATACTACTTTTCATCAAATCTCATAAATTTTATAGGGGTGATTCAATGAAATAGTCTATAACTCAAGATCTAATAGTCGAACCAACTAGCGGTTACTTTTATTAGAATCTACACAAAATTTGAGTTTAGAAATGTATTATTGGTTGTGTAGATTTACCCAGTAAACATCGAGCAAAATAGATATTAAAAAGGTTGCACCCTACCTTTTAAAAGTTACCCCATACTTTTTGAGAGAATGGTACCATCCTCAACAATTCTACTTAACTCCACTTCCAATTGATCGATCAACTTGTGGTTGGTCTTAAAATCTAGCTAACGAAATTCTAATTAAAAAAACTATAGCTTAGGTAGTCAACTTTACTATAAAAACATCTGGAAATTTTAGGTCAAAGTTGACCTACTTTTCCAAAAGGTTAAGTTCAATTAAAAAGTGTATAACTCAAGATCTAATAGTTGAATCAACTAGTTGTTACTTTCATTAGTATCTACACAAAATTTGAGTCTAGAAATCTATTATTGATTGTGTAGATTTACCAAGTAAACATCGAGCAAAATAGATATTAAAGTTTGCAGTACTACAAAGTTTGCAGTACTCAAAAGTTTTGCAATACTCAAAAGTTTTGCAATACTAAGAAGTTTCTATGATATCTATGATATTGGTCATGATATTTTTACCTTTTTATCCATGACCAATATCAAAGCTTTCACGCCTTAAAGACTTTCAGTACTGAAAAGGCTTTCAGTGCTGAAAAGGCTTTTAGTACTGAAACGGGTTACAGTACTGAGAAGGTTTTCAGGCCTGAATAGGTCTTCAGGCCTGAAAAGGCGTTCAGTACTGAAAAGGCTATCAGTACTTAAAAGGGTTACAGTACTGAAAAGCCTTTCAGGTCTGAAAAGACTTTCAATACTGAAAAGGCTTTCAGTACTGAAAAGCGTTACAGTACTGAAAAGGTTTTCAGACCTGAAAAGGCTTTCAGGCCTGAAAAGGGTTATAGTACTGAAAAGGTTTTTAGTACTGAAAAGCCTTTCAAGCCTGAAAAGGCTTTCAGTACTAAAAAGGCTTTCAGGCCTCAAAACGATCTGAGAAAGGTTAATAAATTCGGGCTTTTGAATAACTTTTCTCCGACGCTTTCAGTATTGAAAAGCCTTTCAGGCCTGAAAACCTTGAATGTTTATAGAATATATCGTCTTTCAGTACCGAAAGTCTTTCAGTGAACAATTTTTTAAAATGTCTTAAAATGTTCCTTAAAATGTGTCCAAGAACAAATTCAAAGGTTGCCCCCAACCTTTGAAGCCTTTTCGGTACCGAAAGCCTTTTCAGGCGTAAAAACCCTACAATAATGAAACCTTTTCAGTACTGAAAAGTATTTGATTACTATAAAGTTTCTAGTACTAGAAAGGCTTTCAGTACTTTGTATTTCTAAAACACAACCTCATGGGCTACGATATCAATTTAGGAGCGAAAGAAGAAATTTTTCGCCCTTCAATTTCTTCTTCGCTTCTGTCCAAAAGCTATTGGTGATTTTTTCTGCCATATTTTCCCCTTTTCGATTGATTCCTTGTTAGAATAGACTTTTATATCGTGCATATCGTTTTAAACGCATATCTTATTGGTTTTAAGCATTTCTCTGAATTTCGGTGTTTTTGTGCGGTTTTTAAACTTTTTAAGACCATACCGTACCACATATCACTCAATAATCTAAAAGAATGGACTTGTCTGGTATTATATTTCACTAACATAAATGATTTTATAGGGCTTTCTTTTATTTTCTATTTTTTTGGTACGAGAACTGTGCAATGGATCACTTTAAGGTGCAATGGATCACTAGCAAGGACATGATTTTAACAAATATTTGATTAGAAATTAGAATTTATGTTTTAGAAAACAACTTTTTCTTCTAAAAATACTGAAAGTGATCCATCGCATTGATCTCCTCTTGATAAAAATTAATGCTAGTAATTCATTGTGAATAGACCTAGATATCTTTGAGTGTTTCTTTTTCCCCCTAAGATTTACATTAAGTTTTCGTGAATTTGCATCGAGTTCATGCTTTATAAAGTTTTTTTTTTCAGTAAATCAACATATCAACGAAGATGGCAAGCTTCCACGGGCTCTTCAATATGCCACGCTTAGCGCATCCTCCAAATGAGAGAGACAACGTGTATTTGATGTTGACAATTGCCGATGAGATCAAAACAAATGCGAAAGATCCGGTAAAACTTTGCTAAGTATCTTTTATGGTTTCTAAGGCTTTTGGGGATTTCGTTGCTTTCGTATTGGAACAATTTATCTGAAAACCCTAAGGTTTATGATTTCATTGGTGTATAGATTTCCTTTAGAAGATCGCATTCTCCGCTCAATCACCAGACCCCTGTACGATCATCTTGGAAAATCGACACGATAAGGAGGAGATGCTCTGCCTGGTGAGTTGTTTAGTTCTATATTGTTTCTATATTGCGTATTGCCTCTGAGAACTTTTGCCTAGATTTACCCGCCCCTCCCGAAACATTCACAGGAACGACCGTTTGCCGGCAACATTTGGCAAACCGTACTAAATCAGTGGAGATTGGACAATCACAAAGGATGGTGCTTCAAAACACGTTTCGAATCGTACAAGACTGACGAGTACAAGACGATAATCTTGAAGCCAAACGAGAAGCAAAGAATCGATCTATGGGCAGATGATCAGAGTAAGTAATTTATTTGGAATTTGATTTTGCGTAAAGAATTTTGAAGCTTAAACGCAGGTAACGCTTAAACATCCCCCACCCAGTTGACGCCCTTCTTGCTAAGTTCCATACGGGTTTCCAAGTCGTCAACTGAATGAGGGGTGTTTGAGCATTACCGCGCCTCCGCAACTTTAGTTTATAGACTTTGTTTTTAGTAGAGGGTGGAGCGTATTCACTCAAGGTGTACGGTTACGCGATGGGCATGCTGCAAGCAGAACACACCCAAATCAACATCGCCAAGGCCGGCTCGAAGGTTAACCGCAAGGGTGGAATGATCGCAAACACTCTCTCAGAAATATTCGGTGGGTGTAGATCTTTAAACTAAAAACCATTGTCTATTTAGCCAAGGAGATGGCAAAAATGATCAAGGAAAAAAGTGCTAATGGGGTTGTTTTCTCCGACGTGGCGAGAGCTCTCGATACCGGTGCCACCACGGTTCCAGCAGATGAAGATACAAACGAAGTATTTCTATGGCTTGAGCATCTGCTGGAACGTGAACGCATGGCGAAACCCCCCACTAGCACTTCATCCTTCATATCATCACCGATTATCAATCAACAATCATCAATCGGATTTGTCAATTTTTCGACAGTGTCGCCCTTGGGAGATTCGCTTGGCAGTGCATCTGCACAACCTCAGCAGCTAGGTAAATCGGTTTAAATGTTAATCGGCGAATTTTTTTTGAGTTTAATCGAAAAAAACATTCCTCGATTCTCTAGCATAATCTTATTTCTATTTCTTTTTTCAAATATTGCACCCATAACGATTCTTTCCAATTTGAATGTCGCAAGTCTTGCAACTGTTCTGGATGACTATTTACGAGAGATCTAATAATATGAAATGTTTACAGTTCCGTCGATCTTGTCATCAACTGAGCAATGCAATGAGCACGATGACGAGTTCTTGGACCGCGAGGAAGATGTAAGGGAAATTTCTATTAATCTATTATTCTGTAAATTGCTAATTTAGGTCGAGCCCGACAATGTCGTAATCACGTCTACTTCAATGCTTCGATCGCCTTCTCCACAACTTCGATCGTTGTCTGCTGTCTCTTCGATTAGCTCTAGTAAGTCAATTTAGTCTCGTTAAGAAAATAATTGTAATTTTTAGCATTCGATGCTGCTGTTTTTGGGATTGCCGTTCCTCGGAACCCAACCTCATACTCACCCACGACTGCTTTTTGCAATTGGAGTGCCGTTGATCTTTCACATACTGCTGATCTTGGTGAGAATTTTCTAATTTTAGATTTCACAATTCTTGTTTATATTTTCGACTTACTTAGTATCTTCTGGTTTAATAATCTAAACATTCTATTTAGTCTATTTATTTTAGAGATTCATTCTCCTTCTATGGTACAGAAAACGCCTACCGAATCGTCAGTTACTGCCATCACTCGTGCAAAGCGAGGTCGCTCAGGAGATTGGTCGCCAAATAACTTGAAGACGATTACAGAAGTTGACGCTGACTCCAATGAACAAGGCCCATCCTACAAGGTAAAACGTGACTACTACTGAAATTTCGTTATATACTCTCTATTATATTTAATTGTCCATTTTTTTAGAGAATTTATGATAAAGATGATAATCGTGATGAAGACGGCGTCCTAATCAACTTTATTCATATGTCAACAACTCAAGCTCGTGGAGACTCAAATACATTGAGTGATAAAAAGCAAGGTACGTCAAATTTCTATTGTATTATTTGAATAATAAATTTTATAGAATTCTTACTTTATTTTCAAATTTTAGTATTATTATATATTCAACCTAAAATGGTCTTTTGATTTCATAGATCATTACATCAAGAAAAATGATGGTTGCTTGAAATGCCACCAGACCATGCGGAACAAGGCGTGTCTAAAATGCGAAGATGGATGTTCAAAATGGTTCCATACGTAAGTTGTTTTCCAAGGGTTAGCTTCAATAAATTCTTTTAATTTCAGACAATGTTTCGATACTACGTTGCATTATCGAGCGAATAAAGCAAAAGCTCGAGGACGTGATGGAAAACTACTCTGTGCCGCTTGTCGCCAATGTAACTGAGTTTAATTGAACATTTTTTAAATTGTATGTTCTTCTTCTCTTTTGCAATCTTACAAGTGTCCTTGTTTTCTTTTCTGAATCTCGATTTGTTTTTAGGTGGTTAGACTTTTGACCCTTGATCCTAATGATCATCGGCTTTCGTGGCATTCTTGAGAATTAGCCCAAAAGTTTAACCACTTTATTCGTCATTATTTGCATTTAAATTCTTTTTGCATCACTAACTTTTTTCTAATAGTTAGTGAATAATTTGTGTTCATTTACTTGAATCTTGAAATACATTAATTTGCTCCATCTTCATTTTTCATATATTTCTCTTCAAAATTTTTATAAAAACGACTCTTTTCATTGGTGTTTTAGTTGATTACATGTTATTTTGAAATTGAATAAATTTTTATAAAAATAAATTGCTCTATATCCTTAAAATACAAAAAATATTTCAATAAATATCAGGCGGTCTGATAACTATCGTATGGAGTAACTTAAATTTCAGTTAACTTAGTACTAGAGATACTAAAGCATTTAGTACTAAAGTTAAGAGTAACTATAATTGGGGACAATAAAGATAACTTAAAGGCTTCGAGATTTGAAAACCTTCCAGTACTGAAAGTTTTTCAGGTTTGAAAGTCGCTAAGTTAAAGCTTTCAGTACTGAAAAGGCTTTCAGGCCTGAAGAGGCTTTCAGGACTGAAAAGGCTTTTCAGGCCTGGAAGCCTTTTCAGTACTGAAAGCCTTTTTAATGCTGAAAGCCTTTTCAGTACTGATAGCCTTTTCAGGCCTTGTGTTTTGATTTTGTGAATTCTTGTTAATTTTGATTATTTTATGAACAACTCGCGCATACGCGAGTTGTTAATAATATTGATTATTTTATGAATTGCAAACTTTGTGGTACTGCAAACTTTGTAGTACTGCAAACTTTGTAGTACTGCAAACTTTTGTACTATTGCAAAGTTTGCAGTACTACAAAGTTTGTAGTACTACAAACTTTTAAGTTTGCAGTACTGCAAACTTTGCACTATCACAAAGTTTGTAGTACCACAAAGTTTGTAGTACTACAAAGTTTGTAGTACTACAAACTTTTAAGTTTGCAGTACTGCAAACTTTGTGGTACTGCAAACTTTATTGTATAATACATGCGCGTAACTGTAACTTACTCTTTCAGATAAGTAGGTCAACTTTGACCGAAGATTTCTTTATGTTTTTATATTAAAGCTCACTACCTAAGCTATAGTTTTGTAAAATAGAATTTCGTTAGTTACATTTTAAGACCAACCACAAGTTGATCGGTCCACTAGAAGTGGAGATAAGTCGAATTGTTGAGAATGGTACCATTCTCTCAAAAAGTATGGGGTAATCTTTAAAAAGGTAGGGTGCAACCTCTTAATATCTATTTTGCTCGATGTTTACTTGGTAAATCTGCACAACCAATAATACATTTCTAGACTCAAATTTTGTGTAGATTCTAATAAAAGTAACCGCTAGTTGATTCGACTATTAGATCTTGAGTTATAGACTTTTTAATGCAACTTACCCTTTTGGGAAAGTAAGTCAACTTTGATGAAGAATTTCCTGATGTTTTTATAGTAAAGTTGACTACCTAAGCTATAGTTTTTTTAATTAGAATTTCGTTAGCTACATTTTAAGACCAACCACAAGTTGATCGCTCAACTGGAAGTGGAGATAAGTAGAATTGTTGAGGATGGTACCATTCTCTCAAAAAGTATGGGGTAACCTTTAAAAAGGTACTGTGCAACCTTTTAATATCTATTTTGCTCGATGTTTACTGGGTAAATCTACACAACCAATCATACATTTCTAGACTCAAATTTCGGGTAGATTTTAATAAAAGTAACCGCTAGTTGATTCGACTATTAGATCTTGAGTTATAGACTATTTCATTGAATCACCCCTATAAAATTTACGAGATTTGATGAAAAGTAGTATTTTTTTTTAGGAAAGCCCTAATTTTAAGTCCAAATTCGGATTCTCCATCAAAAATTGAGCCTAGAAAAGTGTTTTTTATCATTCTTCTCCATCTTTCCTTATCGTTAAGTTGAAAAATCTTGTAGTAAGTGTGTCTCCTATAACCGATCTTGAATGATATTTGTATTTAGCATAGAATCTCGACAAAACCTTTACTCAATACCCTATAAAGTACTTTTTCTAGATCTAATTTTCATGCAAAATTCAAATATGTAGTTAAAATCTAGGGTTTTCTCAGACTTTTTACCATATCCTGACGATAACCCTAAATTCTGGCTGACGGAAAATTAGTCCAACTTTGACCAAAATTTTGTTTATGTTTTTATCTTAAAGTTACTAAGAGGATTGTGCATTTCTAGTACAAAATTTTATTAGGAACATTTTAAGAACAACCACAAGTTGATCGGTTAACTGGAAGTGAAGATATGGTCGAAAAAGCGAGGACTCAATATGATCCTCATACACTGTACTAGGATCATAAAAAAAAGGCATTTTATATGATCCTAGTACAGTGTATGAAGATCATCTTAAAAGGGAAGAAAACCTTTACTCAATATCTTATAAAGTACTTTTTCTAGGTCCAAATCTTGTGTAGAATCCGAATTTGCACTTAAAACTTAGGGTTTGCTTAGGCTTTTTACTGTATCTTGACGGTAAACCTTGTAGAAATTTAGTCCAACTTTGACCGAGATTTCCTTTATGTTTTTATTGTAAAGTTGCTAAGGAGATTGTCAATTTCTGATAGGAAATTTTATAAGGAACATTTTAAAAACAACCACAAGTTGATCGGTCAACTGGAAGTGAAGATATGGTCGAAAAAGCGAGGACTCAATATGATCCTCATACACTGTACTAGGATCATAAAAAAAAGGCATTTTATATGATCCTAGTACAGTGTATGAAGATCATCTTAAAAGGGAAGAAAACCTTTACTCAATATCTTATAAAGTACTTTTTCTTAGTCCAAATCTTGTGTAGAATCCGAATTTGCACTTAAAACTTAGGGTTTGCCTAGGCTTTTTACCGTATCTTGACGGTAAACCTTGTAGAAATTTAGTCCAACTTTGACCGAGATTTCCTTTATGTTTTTATTGTAAAGTTGTTAAGGAGATTGTCAATTTCTGATAGGAAATTTTATAAGGAACATTTTAAGAACAACCACAAGTTGATCGGTTAACTGGAAGTGAAGATATGGTGGAAAAAGCGAGGACGCAATATGATCCTCATACACTGTACTAGGATCATATAAAATCGCGATTTTATATGATCCTAGTACAGTGTATGAAGATCATCTTAAAAGGGAAGAAAACCTTTACTCAATATCTTATAAAGTACTTTTTCTAGGTCCAAATCTTGTGTAGAATCCGAATTTGCACTTAAAACTTAGGGTTTGCTTAGGCTTTTTACCGTATCTTGACGGTAAACCTTGTAGAAATTTAGTCCAACTTTGACCGAGATTTCCTTTATGTTTTTATTGTAAAGTTGCTAAGGAGATTGTCAATTTCTGATAGGAAATTTTATAAGGAACATTTTAAGAACAACCACAAGTTGATCGGTTAAATGGAAGTGAAGATATGGTCGAAAAAGCGAGGACTCAATATGATCCTCATACACTGTACTAGGATCATAAAAAAAAGGCATTTTATATGATCCTAGTACAGTGTATGAGGATCATATTGAGTCCTCGCTTTTTCGACCATATCTTCACTTCCAGTTAACCGATCAACTTGTGGTTGTTCTTAAAATGTTCCTTATAAAATTTCCTATCAGAAATTGACAATCTCCTTAGCAACTTTACAATAAAAACATAAAGAAAATCTCGGTCAAAGTTGGACTAAATTTCTGCAACCGGGAATCTAGGTTTACCGTCAGGATATGGTAAAAAACTTTAGCAAACTCTAGGTTTTAAGTGCAAATTCGGATTCTACTTGAAATTTGGACCTAGAAAAAGTACCTTATAAGATATTGAGTAAAGGTTTCCTTGAATTCTACGATAAATGCAAATATAATATAGAGATCCGTCATAGGAGACCGACCTACTACAGGACTTTTCGACTCATCGATAAGCGAAGATAGAGAAGTATAATGAAAAACACTTTTCTAAGCTCCATTTTTGATGGAGAATCCGAATTTGCACTTAAAATTAGGTCTTGCCTAGAAAAAAGTACTACTTTTCATCAAATCTCAAAAATTTTATAGGGGTGATTCAATGAAATAGTCTATAACTCAAGATCTAAGAGTCAAATCAAATAGCGGTTGCGTTTATTAGAATCTACACAAAATTTGACTTTAGAAATGTTTTATTTGTTTTATAAACTTACCAATAAAAACCTAGGTAAAATTAGAGTCAAAGTCGGATAAGTGCCTACCCCCCCCTAGACATTTGTCTAGGGGGGGGTAGGCAGATTTTCTAGGGGTATCCTCTCCTTTTCGGCCATATCTTCACTTCCAGTTAACCGATCAACTTGTGGTTGTTCTTAAAATGTTCCTTATCAAATTTCGTATTAGAAATTCACAATCTCCTTAGTATCTTTAAGATAAAAATATAGGGAAAATCTTGGTCAAAGTTGGACTAAATTTCTGTGGGCGGAAATCCAGGGTTACCGTGAGGATATGGTAAAAAACCTAAGCAAACCTTAGATTTTAAGTGCAAATTCGGATTCTACTTGAAATTTGGACCTAGAAAAAGTACCTTATAAGCTATTGAGTAAAGGTTTTCTTGAATTCTACGATAAATGCTAATATAGTGTAGAGATCAGTCATAGGAGACCGACCTACTACAGGATTTTTCGACTTATAGATAAGGGAAGATAGAGAAGTATGATAAAAAACTCTTTTCTAAGATCAATTTTTGATGGAGAATCCGAATTTGCATTTAAAATTAGGGCTTTCCTAGAAAAAAGTACCACTTTTCAGCAAATCTCATAGATTTTATCGGGGTGACTCAATCAAATAGTCCATAACTCAAAATCTAAGAGTCCAATCAAATAGCGGTTGCGTTTATTAGAATCTACACAA